AATAATAATAATAATAATAATAATAAAACAATAAAAATTGTTTTGGATTTTTTTTTTTTCGCGGGCCGCCGGTTAACCGCGCCCGTGAAGCCTAAACCCGCGAGTCACAACTCTTTGGCCCGTGAACCGCCCGCAAGGGTCACGGGTCGGCTCGCGGTCCCGATTTTCACGGGCCGATTTTTACGGGTCATGGCTGGTCCGTCCGTCTTAACACCTCTACTTTTATCTCACAATTTTCATTTTGTAACAGCTATGTTACTTTTAATAATGAGCAAAAAATGGCATCCAAAGAGTAATATTATTCAACCCAATTCAGGTCAACAGTCAATGTTACGTTAATATAATATTAAATGATAAGTACACTTAAATAAGTCATTTAATTTCATGTTTTATTTAGTATATCACCCAACGCCGTCGAAACTGGTTTTTTAACCTCAATAGAGTTAAATAGCATTACTTGTAACATGTGTATGTGTCTATATTATTTTTAGAAGGGCCAACTAAGGGGACACGAAATAGGGACAACACATTCGGACAAAAGCGTGGGCTGTAAAAAAAACCAAAATGTTAATGATTTTCATTATGGAAATGTCTATATCAAAATAATTAAAGTAATCAATTCTTTTTTTAAATAAATTGCATGTCATTTTCATGCATAAAATCATAATATATGTACATGGAAATTAAGCCATATAAAAGAACTCTAATATATTCCTTAGCTTGACTTTTCTTATTGCTTTTATCCAGAGAATGACGAGTTCAAAGGCAAGGGAAGAAAAAGGAGAATAATTGATTATGTCAATTTTGCTTTGCAATTAATTTTGTATTTATATTGGAGAATCGTGTGGGGACTTCCTGTCATTACATCAAATGTATCGAAATTCATCGATAAATCCTATGTAGCGGTTTGCTTTATTAATAATTAATGATAGTGTGAAATGTAATAGGTTTTGTATTTTTGTAGCTTGTAATCTTGACTAGAATGTTGGAACAAATGCCTGTTTCAGATCCTAATTTCTGTCTTGTGGTTTCTAAGTATTTTGCCACAATACTTGTTTCTTATCTTGTAAGATTGTGAAGGTTACGATAAAGGGAGGACGAAGATATTTTGAGTTACGAGAGGATACAATCAAACTTGTAAAAAAGTTGTGAGGAATTTTACAGTAGAAAATTTACATCCAAAAAAAATCGTATCCCATTTAATTTTACATTCAAAAATTTACATGGAGTATGACTTTTTCAGTTGTAAAATTTTGAAAATTTTAATGTCATATCCCATGTAAAATTTTCTAATAAAATGAAGGAAAGTATATTGAGAAATTTATATCGCAAAAATAATAATAATTGAATTTTTTAGAGGAAAAGACGAGTTAAACCTCTCTTTTTAAGACGCATGTTTGACACATCTTTAACTATTTTCGATATCTATTTGGACCATTCGATATACCTATGATGTAATTCTTGAAACGAGTTTCAAGATGACATATACGATTTGTGAATTCGGTTAGCGTATGATCGTCAAAAAAAATTTAAAATTAGTCCGTTATCGAAATTCTCGAAATAATAGTTTGGAACGGCCAACTTTGACAAGTCATAACATTTGCTATGATTGGTCATTTCGCTTGCCATTAACGACGCAGAAAACTAGGACATGACCATTTTGAAATGACATTAAGAATGCAATATTTCGATTTCGTTTGACATTCCATAATGACTTCGAAATTGAAATTAGAAAAAAGGAAAAAAATTGGCCCCAAAGTTGGGGTTCACGTGACCTATGCCCACCCCGGTGTCCGGCTCTGGTCATAATATTTCCCTTGTTTGACATTCATTTTTTTTTTCATTTTAATTCTATTTTTTTTCTCTTTCTTCATTTCAACCATACATTTTATCAATAAAATAATATTACACATAAATCAAAAAATTCTTCATACTTTTTAACCACATATTCTTCCATCAATCACTATTTCAAATCAAATTCTTCTAAAAAAATGGGTGTCAAACAAGGGCATAAGTAATTTACTTATTTTTAGCTTTGATTAATTTATTTCAATCTGACTTGTTTACTCCTAAGTAAATTATTTTTACGCTTTGCAAATCAAAGCACTTTCATTCCCATGAAATTGAATTTTCTATCTCAAAGCCAAACTCATAGTACTGAAAGACGACCATCGCAAAAAAATTGACGCTAAAAGTTATCAACTACGATTTTTTCCATCTCAAAACTTAGATATTTTCATCTCCATGGTGACACATATTCACCATTGTAATTTCTCAATCCCCTCAACTAGCGCTTCGAAAAGTATGGACGAGCCGAAAAATACTTTACTTAAGTGTATAATCACGATGAGTATGATTATGTCATATATCTGAAATGTAATTTTTTTAACATTTTACAATTTTCTTCCTCGTCTATGGATGAGGTAAGTTATTATCTTCGGCATCTTTAGTTGGGAGTTCAGATTGAATTCCATTATCTAAATCAAAGTCAACAATTAGTTTTAAATACATAATGGTACTCACAATTTTAAACGGCGCATTTCATACTTTTATTAAAATCTAAAATTTAGATTTTAATCCCATCAAAACTTATTCATTTTTAATAAAACATGAACCCCTATTTGGAATAAACATAGCTAGTAAATAGAAACAAATATTGCCAGTGAAAAATGTCAAAATTTGGCATAATTCATTTTTTTGACCTTTTTCTCTAGAAACTTGGAATTCAAAATTTGACTGTAATTATAGGTTTCGAAACTCCAAGACTTCTTCACTGTTTTGTAGTGTTTGTTTGTTAATAATCATTTGAGAAGAGATATAAATTCTTCACGGCTTAGAACATGTTTGGTTAAACTTTTAAAAGTTAGCTTATATGAAAATAAGTGAATCTAAAAAAAATATTGGTCAAAATTGAAAATAATTAAATTATTTTTGCTGTCAACATTTATAAGTTTAAATGTGTGAATGTATTGATTTATCCTTTACAAATGTGTCCATGCATCACATATCTTTGAAATTAAGCTTGTCCTAGAGAAGATATAAAGCTCATGCGTTTTCCATGAATTTGATTGAAACTTGCGAATTTTTTCATTTCTAATTTAATAGCCTCTCTCTTTGATTCACTCGGAGCCGTGTCTCCTAACTGTAGTCATCTTGGTTTAATCCAATTCAATCCTCGAATGTAGCTCTAATCACGTATGATACTTGTACCTTCTATTTATTAATGGAGCTATTGAGAAGATCTAATAAAGTACTCTTATAATCCAAGCTTCTATTGCCGATTCTTTAACCTAATTAGCTTTTCACATACCCAGCCCCTGTTTCAGGCCAATTTTTTTTAAAACTCATTTTCGATCACATTCTTCCATAAAAAAATTTCACACGTAAACTCAAAATATTTCCACATTTTTCAGTCACACTTTCTCCGAAAAATCACTATTCTAAAACATATTTTTTTCAAAAAAAAAAAGGGTGTTTCGCTAATTAAAAGCTTTAAATTGCACCAATGATGGTACAATATTTTATGGCCTGTTTACATTCTTGTGTGTGGGTGGCGGTAGACAAATTAGTTAATGTTAACAAAGTTAGTGGCATGTCTTTATCAACTGTCTTTTCTCACTTCTATATATATCATATAGGCCAAAGAAGTCCAAATTCATATGTTTAATGTCAGCCATATTTTGCTCCTAACCCAGAATCAATTACCTGAATTTTGTCCCTCTCCACCTAAAGAAACAATTCAACTTTGAAAGCCATAAAAAAAGATACACAAAAATAATTATTGTCTTTATATATATTCGATGTCGAATATTATAGGAGATGATGGGAGTTTCTCATCTGGAGAAGTCCAACAACTGGAAAACCTGTCCCATGGTGCCGACTCTACGAATGGCTCAAGCTCTAGGAAACCGCCTTCTAAGAAGAAAAGAAACTTACCAGGAACTCCAGGTAATTCAGTAACTCATAAATTTCTTTACCTACAAATCAATGAAGTTTAGGCTAAATAATTTTTTAACTTATTCTATAAATTGAATTATCTAACTTATGTTGTAGCTTAGATGAATGTGTTTTCCAGAAGGTGCATCAAAATAGTTGAATCTACAACTTGTATAATCTTGGAAACATAAGGTGCATTTTTGGTACACAAATTGAGTAGTACTAAACAATACTAAGAAACGAAAATGAGAAAAATCTTATTTATCATAATATCCATTATTGTGTAGCAACTCGTACAACAAGACTTCACCCTTTTAGGTTCTTTTATATGAATAATTGAATATAAAGTTCATTTTGTTCAACATGAAGTGAGAAACAACAACAAATTAAACATTTCATTTCCAAACAATTTTGAGATGGACTACATAGATCTACCAGTGTTGTCACGAGAAAATCCTAATGTTGACGTAAAAAATCTGATGATCAATATTCTCGAGATTCGTGAAAAGCACGTTGAAGGTGATGTTGAGGATGTCTAGTTGCAACCATATTGATCGTTCAATGGTTTTTTATGTCAACACTTGCTAAACAGTAATCATTACTTTAAAATGGGGCAATAATTTGAGTAATGTTATTCATAGTGAAAACTATTTTTAATCGCTCTACATACACATGGCTGCTGTTATTAGATGCATTATCTCAAACATCAAATAACAAAATGTCATATGTATATCATGTAGGACGATTATCGGTAGTTTTCATTATAATATCATTATTCTAAATCTATACACGATTAATACTATAATTGCTCCATACTCGTATTGATTGAACTTCCCACCCCCTTTGTGTCCAATTGTGTGATCATGGATGTCTTATTGAGCCCCTGATTTGTATAAATTAAAATCAGTTTTTTAATAGATTTTGATAAAAGTTAATAAAATGTGTGGTTGAAAATTTGTGAGTCCTATGAGATTTGTGGTTAAAATTAATTGTTGACTTTGACTAGAGAGTTTAATTGGATTTTAATCCGAACCAAATAGGGGCTGAATTTTTATTTTTTTTGTTTTTCTAAACACACACACACACACTGGGATTAATAATCAAACTGTGATTTAATTATATTTATTTTTATATTATGAAGATCCAACTGCAGATGTTATTGCTCTATCACCAAAAACCCTAATGGCAACAAACAGATTTGTGTGTGAAATATGCAACAAGGGATTTCAGAGAGATCAAAATCTGCAACTGCATAGAAGGGGTCATAATCTTCCCTGGAAGCTTAAGCAAAGAACAGTCGAGTCGTTGAGAAAACGTGTTTATATATGTCCGGAGCCGAGTTGCGTGCACAATAATCCAACGCGTGCATTAGGCGATCTCACTGGAATCAAGAAGCATTATAGCCGGAAACATGGAGAGAAGAAATGGAAGTGTGAAAAATGTTCAAAGAAATATGCAGTGCAGTCTGATTGGAAGGCTCACCAAAAGACTTGTGGAACTAGGGAATATAAATGTGATTGTGGAACCATCTTCTCCAGGTATTGTTTGTTTTCTTTTCTAACTTTCTTCTCAATCTAGAAACTGAACAATGAGGAGTGACGAGACAAAAGAATTGAATGCTCGACTTGGCCCACTGTCACTCCTACCGAGATCGCATCAACCTTAGCCTATGTCTGGCTCATGTTTATATACCGTCACTTTTTATTTACACATTTCAAGAGATTTGCAAACACTACTTACTTATCCACGACAATTTCTATATATTTGTAATTTAAATCGTTTATAAACACTTTCAAAACATGCATGCTTGTCCCTATGAGACACGAATTTTCATTCCTTTTCACTTGAAAAATTGGTATTATTCCTCTAGATTCGTCATATTTTAACGAGGTTAGGTCAAGTCAGCCTTGGTCTCTACGAGCCACGAATTTCCACTCCTTGCACGATGCATCACAACAATGCTTCTAAATATTTTACGCATGATTATTTACCTTGATAACAATATATTCTGCATCAATCTTTACGCCGATTACAAACGAAAAAATAGCAAAGATCTGAACACTTTTCTTTTAGTGTAAGGTTGTAATCTTATCCTTGGTTGCATCCGTTGGACACAGGAGAGATAGTTTTATCACACACAGGGCTTTCTGTGATGCACTGGCTGAAGAAAACAACAAAGTTATGAACCAAAGCTTGATATTACCAAATTTTCATACCCAAATGCCAGATCAAATTTTGTCAAATATGCCCATAAACAGCAACACAAACGCATCCATGGAATTATCAGAATTCACCAATCCCCTCAAATCAATCCCTCCAGAAATTGTCCCAATAATGCCATTCAAATCTATGAACAATGCGGCAGCAGGAGGCATGTTTTCCAGCAATTCTGGCAATCTCTTTGGGAATACAAGAGGCGTTCCCTCACCATCATCATCAGCCCTTCAGCTCAATAATGGTGGCCAAATTTCAGGATCATCAGCCAATATGTCTGCCACTGCATTACTGCAGAATGCAGTCCAAATTGGTGCAACTTCAAGCAATAGTACTATGACCTCTCCAATGATGCAAAAAAGTTTTGTAAGCAGCATGGCAGGATCTGATCAACTCTCTGGATCAAGAACTTCGTCGAATTTACACCAAAACAACTCATTTGACAATGTGCATAACGAGCAATCAAAAGGGGCTTTTAGTACCCATCTTTTACAGAAGAGCCCACAAGAGTTGTCTCAGTTGTTCCATTCTGGGACTGGTGGCTCAGTCTTGAGTGACATGGTGTTGAACGGCGGAATGCTGGTGGACAGTGATCCGTACTCTGCTGGTTTCTTGAAGAAAGTTACAGAACGAGAGGATAGTGAACTTTCTGGCATTGTGCAACGAAGAATGGCTATGAGTAGGAGCCCTACAGGGAACTCCAGGTTGGGACATAGTGATATGATGACTCTGGATTTCTTAGGGGTTGGGGGATCCAAGGGCCCCCAAAATCTGCATGAACAGAGCTCAGAAATGGAGGGTTTAAACCAACAGAGAATGCAAGTAATGCAGCCTTTGCACCAAATACAGCTCTTACATGGGGATTCTGATATGGAAAAACCCTTGTGGGATATGTGAGAGTAATACTCTCATGCATGACGACGTCTGTTAAATATATGAAAAGATTTGTAACATTCTACTCGACATTTCTTGACTGTTTTGAGATTATTTTCATAATAATATAGTTTGATTATGTGATTAGTATAGAATGTTTCATTTTTGTATTTAGAGTTATTTGTCCTATGGTAGTTTTCTTTATAGTTCTTGGACAGAAAAAAATATTTAGTGCATAATACGAATTTGACAAGATATCAAGAAAAAAGATAATGAACAATAGCAACCTATCCACACCAGAAAGGATTAAAGTAGAAGCGAGTTAGAATTTACTTAGACAAGAGAAGCCACGACAAGAAGTCTTTAGCATGCATTTGGCATAATTAGGTGAACTAACAGTAAAAGCATAAAAGGGCTGGGATGGACCTTTCCACAAATGGGCACGGCACGACACGGCATATGCACAGACATTGTTTGACGTATGCACAAGCTAAATTCAAAAAACAAAATTCCCATGACCAAAAATTTTAAGAAATAAATAAATTGAAGCATAAAGAGAAATAATAAACAAACTCTTAAGAAAGTAGATTGATGCATTTGATCTCATACTAACGTCTTCGATCTATTAAATTTAGCTCTTGAAGAGCTTCTTTTGCGTATCAAGATAAGTCCTCATATACTATAGCAGACTCTTTTAAAAGTATTGTTCCACCTCTTTTAAAAACTCTATTGACAACCGTCGCACGAAAAAAATGAAATATTCGTCAAAATTGTTTGAACCATAGAATTAGAAACTCAATTAACATTTTCTTATCATCATTTCAATCAACAAATATTTACTTAAATGTTTAATTTCCTTGTACTTATTTATAAACATTCTCGTTTATCATTCATTTCAATCGACATATTTTTACTTTAAAAAAATTAATATTAACCAAATCAGTATAATCAAATCATTCTGCATTATAATTCTTTATTAAAAAGTGAAATTTATAGCCATTGTTTTCAAAGACTATCACTTGGATCACTTGGCTCCTTAATTAATTACCACTGTTAGCACTTTTATCCTTAAACTTTTATTTTGACATCCTTGGTTAATGACAGCCAATCAAGTTTATTTCGACGTAGAAAATTATAGTTGTGACCTGTGACGAGAGGAGCTAATTACGTCCAAACACTCTTTGGATATTAAATAAATTAAATTAACAAATATATAAAAGCTGAAAAAGAAAAAGACATTAACTTCCTCAACCTCCGGACACTAGTCCCAAATCTTGGCTCCCGGCCGCCGCCGCCCCGCTCTACGGCTCCACCCTCACCAGTACGAAAACTCCCCCAATTAGGCGTAGATTCTGTGTGGATTCTGTTTTGTTTTAAACCAGATGTCATCGAAATTGTGAACAAGCTCTAAAAGAGTGTCTACCACAAGATTCAAAACTCGATCATTTTCCAACTGTGTAAAGAGAAGCTAGGAGGTCCAAGCCTTCTCTTCGTCAAGATCGGTCCAAACCTGCAGCAGGGAAGAATGCCAATACCAACAAAATCCAAATTATTTGAATGCAAATATTAAACTAATTCTAGAACACTTTCTTGAACACTTTACTGCTAGCCAAGGAACCAAACTCAAGATGGTATCGAAACTTAACTTACAGTGATACCATGTTATAGACAAGATAGTAATTGTAATGTTGGATAATGTGAAAGTAACTGCAAAGAGGAGAATATGAAGTGCAGCACCCTGAACAAAGGTAAATATGATAATATCCAACACTGATGATTTTGACAAAGTTATGAATTCAATAGAGTTGAGGACAAATTATAACGTAAATGATGAATACCCACATTCAGAAGAAAACGAATTTGTGACTACATATATATAATTATCCACTGAATGGGGTTGCTGGTGGGAGAAGACCCATTCAAAGAACTCCATCTCTCGGCAAGACTATTAATTGCCTTTGTTCAATCACTTTTTGACACAATACTCGGAGAATGAGACTTTCTCCCTTCAATCTCTGCAGGCACCCGGTTTTCTTTCAAGTTCTTTGCTAGCCAGACAACTGAACCATTTCTTTCACAATTGTGAGCATGTTAGGTTGTGTTTTCACCAACTCAAGGAGCTTCTTGTTTTTGGAAAGGTTAATTAAGAGATCAGAAGGATCAGCAAAAGCAATTAATGAAATTGCATTACCCCATATAAATGTCAGAATTCACATTCAAGGACTCATCCACCAAGATATTACACTAGCGGCAAAATACTAAAACAATAAAGCCAGTATCGAAAATGATGCAAGCGAAGGTTTTCTCATAGTCAATTCAAATCAAAAGTGATCCGGATATAGCCGTACTCTCTTCAAATCTCACTTGGTTACAGCCATAGACGTTAGCAAGACCTGTACAACAGCCCAATAGTCGATGTTCATGCCTATAGATGGTCACATGACAGTACAAGCCACCCTCAGGCATCAGGTCAACTCATTTGACCATGATGCTATCAGCCTTACCTCCGATTGAGTGAGGAGATGAACCTATGAGCTCAGCCTATGAGATAATCGAATTGACCTGGGGTAGAGAGAATGATTTCTGAGAATGAGAATCGCTTGGCAGTGCACTAAAGCACACAATCTCCTCCTATTATCTAATATCTATTAACTGCCACAGGTAAATGACCTGTCTTATACTTGGCAGTTGGGTGTAGTGGCTTACTGGAGCATTATTACCTCCATGACAGCCACTCCACTCCAATTTAAATATGCCTTCCGGCAAAAGTCATGGGGTATTGAATCGAATGCTGCTCAGAACAACATACACTTGCAAGAGTACTCTCTCTCTTTTTTTACAAGCAATGACATACAATTCAACTAGCGTTCCATTAATTTCATCACCTTCGCTTATCCTTCCATACTTGTCAGAGTATAACAGGGCACGCACCCCTGACCACGACCATGTCCAATTTGCACGTGATAGAGACAAGTCATCAAGAATACAAGACACCATAACGACCAACAAAGAATGATTGTATAAATTTAGCATCAAGGATATTCAAAGTCCAAAGTAATAGTGAAAGAATTTCTGTTAAAAAGTGATCCCTGAAGGAAATATAACATTGGCTACATGTACTCAGTGAGAAGCTGCTATGCGAGTCCTAAACACATTTCACTGTCAAAAAAAAGTTAAATACTTGCCATCGGAAAAGTACCAATTCCAGGTGGTTCGAAGTGCATTAAATATGGACAAAAAGCCACACTAAATATCAACATGAAACAAGATACTGTCATTGTGCAAATTACAAAAGAGATTTTTGCCAAATGAAAGGGAGATTCCATGTGAAGTCGTACCATAACGAAGGGTCAACCAAGCTAAAGCTCTATGAATTTAGCACATGCTCCATTCGTTTTCTGAGAAGAAGCAAAAAGCTAAACCAAACTATCAATATTTGCTCTGTCAGTAGCTGATCATTGCAACTTTTCACTTCACAAAAATAGTTATTACAAAAAGCTACAATGAAAAATTGGTTATAAAATTGAACTGGAAGGATCGTGAATTGCATTACCTTTATTTCAAGCAAGTACCAACTATGATTCTACGAGACCTGTCAAGCGTGATGACATCCATAATTTCAGGCAAATCATTCTTATAGTTGAGCACAAACTTAGTCAAGAATTGTGGATCAGAGATTGACAAAAAGGAAATTGAAGTAGAATATTCCTTCACAAAACCCTTCTCGATCAAAATCTTGATCACACGACACCGTGGGATGATCCTCCTCTCCAAATTGTAAAAGAGGGCAACTGGGCATCGAGCAACTTTGGCAGGAGACCAGCTCATCTCGTTTACATAAAACTCCATTCCCCTCGTGATTTTTTCCTCGGACAACTTCATACACAGAGGGTGTGATCTGAAGGCTGATACAATCTCAGTATCTGACAAGCCAAAACTCCTATAAACCTTGATTCTATTCTCCCACGCCTGCTCGCTAATCTCACACAACACATGAACTGCCCGAATAAACAACATCCTCGAGGGGTCAAATCCCATCTGCATTGCTTTGTCCACATTCCTCTTAAACTTGTCACATTTCGTTTGCACTGAATGAGGGTAGTGAGTTAACATGTATGAGATAAAGCTCTCTGGTACCCCTGCTTCGCCCAATAGCTCTACATTGGGCTCCATTACTTTCAAATTGCAAGATAAAATTCTAGGACTGCGCTTTAAAATCCGAACAATATCTTCATCAGAATCCACTAATGTCTTGAGAAAATTATAACATGGGATAAACTGTTTTTCAATGCTTCCTGACAACAATGCAGGATTACACATAATAACTTTTGGCAGGTCAGAACTCAAGACCCCTATAGATGAAAAGAATTTGAGTTTCGGCAAAATAATGTTCTGGGGATCGCACGAGAAGATATTTGGGATTACCTCGGCAAGCCTGGAAATTTGGGTATCACTAAATTCATAATTTTCCAAAACGGCGCGAAACCGTTCAGCTTTTTCCGGTTCAATCATAGAAGAAGCAGATAAATTGCGAAGAAAAATACCCATTGAGGATTTGTACAAGCATGAATCACCCAGCTGCCTATGGATTGGGAATACTGTTCTAAAAAGTAAACTGAACATCGTTCCTTACTAAACTGCTGATGAAGGTTATACTATGGATGAACTCACCCGTTCTTAGAAGCAAAAATCTGATTTGTACCGTGCTATATGAGAATAGTTCTTCGAGGATTTACAGATCTTCAAATGAAAGAGACGGCTGCATTCTCCGCACTGCGTATACGGAGGAATTGCTTGTGAAAAATGGAGGCGCGGCCCGGGCGACGCCGATCGACGGGCAACAAAGTTTGAGAAGGGTTTAGGTGATACGGGGATGATTTTCAGATTACTTTCTTCGGCTCACTAAACCGGTTTGTTGTAGACCATAAAATTTGACTTGGAAATAAGGGTGCCTTTAAATCATATTATTTTGGAATAGTAGATTAATCGAGAATGTAATGAAAAATGTGTGGCTGAAAATGACTAGAAGAATAATAATGAAAATTTTAATGTGGTTCAAACAGAGACTAAGACTCGATTGTATTTTCTTTAAAAAAATAATAATAATAAATAAATTTGAAGTACAAATCGATTTCAACTTTGACAATGTTAAAACATCTTCGACTTATATCATTTTTTGTTTATAATATCTTTATTTTTATAATTATATTGTACAGCTATTTCTTTTCACCACATTCACGTATCACGGTTTTTCTTTAAATAATATTTATAAAAACATTATAACTATAAAATAATTTTTTTTCATTAATAGATATAAAAAGACTTGTTGACAATCTAATAATCGAAATGACAATAGAAATGACACAAGAAATCTCTCAAAATCATCACGTAAATCATATAAAATTGAATGAGACATTGTCACTCTCTATAATGAATACATAGTACAAAGTAGAAAAATATGCATCTTATAACATGTAATCCACTACATTTTAAAGATTAACGTGTAAAAAAACTAACTCTTCATTTAAACTTTCTCTTTAATTCAATTCCCTTACATGCAAGTTCAATTCCTTTTTCATGACACGAACAATTTTCGAAAACGAAACTTGAAATTAGTGTCTTTACTGACTTAAATATCACATTGAACCACTTCATAATCTTGAAAAGACATTACTCAAAGTATCAATACATCAAGATTAATACATAGTTCATGTTTGAGCCCCAATTTTTTAGAATAGATTTTGTCAAAATTGATTTTATTTATTTATTATTTTTGGAGAATATATAGTTAAAAAGTAAGAAAAAAATATTAGTATACATACAAAATTATTTTATTGAGAAAATTTGTAGCTAAAGTCGAGTTTTAATTGGTATAGGATAGTGAACAACTTTTTTCCATAAACAAGTTGACACGTAGAAGGCAATATCACTAAGAAAACCTTTTGTGTTACTTTCTAACCAATGATCTTCTAACGTGTGAATTTTTTCATTACTAGTTTTGAAGCCGAAATGCACACAAAACTAGGGAAATAAATATTAGTCGACAAATTTTATTATCTCACTAATGTGGACTTACTCGTTGAGTTATTAACAGCACTAAAGGAAAAAAGTTGTATAAAAAATATAATAGCCTCTCTCTTCGATTCATTCAGAGCCGTCTCTCCTAACTATAGTTATCTTGGTCCAATCCAATTCAATCATCAAATGTAGCTCTAATCACGTACGATACTCGTACCTTCTATTTATTAATGGAGCTATAGAGGAGACCTAATAAAGTACTCTTATAACCCAAGCTTCAATTGTCGATTCTTTCACCTAGTTAGCTTTTCACATACTGAGCCCCTGTTTGAGGCAAATTTTTTCCAAAACTCATTTTCGATCATGTTTTCCTATAAAAAATTTTACACGTCAACTCAAAATATTTCCATATTTTTTAGTCACACTTTCTCAAATAAATCACTATTCTAAAATACATTTTTTATATAAAAAGGGGGTGGGGGTGGGTTCATCTCGCTAATTAAAAGATTTAAATTGCACCAAAGATGGTACAATATTTTATGGCCTGTTTACATTCTTGTGTGTGGGTGGGGGCAGACAAATTAGTTAATGTTAACAAAGTTAGTGGCATGTCTTTATCAACGGTCTTTAATCACTTCTATATATACTAGTCATATGCCCGTACAATATACGGGCTTTGGTATTTGTAAGGTAATATTATTGTATCAAATATTAGTTCGGTAAACTTTTATCTAACATAATAATTAGTAANCAGTAAACTTTTATTTAACATAATAATTAGTAAAATTTCATAATGATAATATATTTAAATGAAAAGATTTTGGTAGCCAAAATTTTTTACAAGGAAGAAATTAATGGGACAATATTAATTTTCTAAGCTTGCTAATGTTTGACAATTCATATTTTTACTATGCACCAAATATTTATAGCCACTGAACAAGGAAAGAAATCACCTAAATGTAATATCATGTATTTCACAGGCATTCAGCATAGTCAGCATCATAAGCAATCGTAATAAGAGATGTGTGATGCTTGCTTCAACATATAGGAGGAGGAAATTGTAAAAGTACACACATAAAGCTTACTTTCTTGTGATTCATTCTCACATTATATTCAAATCTGCAAAGAAATGTGCTCAATAAGCAAGGCACCCAAAGGATTAAGATCATATGACTTAAGAACCAGTAAACGAGACTGCAGCCAATCCAGGTATAAATCCTAACTCAATATGGTTAACCAAATTCATGTGGCAAACCAAAGAAAAACATCTTCCCTGCTGTTACGTTACATATGTACACAAATCGAAGGTAACCATCCAATCAATATCCCAAGCATACACCAAGACAGTCACCTCGAGGTACCAAGGTTTCAGTGGTGAGTCATGCACCAAGAAGTATCTACAAGTCAGTCAACTTCCTGCACAGAGTCATCAATCGGCAGTCTAGCAATAATTAGTTCAAGACACTGACTGCTCCTCACAACTTGCACCTGCACCTTTGTTTAGGGAACTCTCTAACCACATCTTCCACCGTCGACCTACTTACGCTCTTTCCGAGCAACGAACTGTTTTTCACTAGTTGCTACTATGCTAGAGATGGAGTATTCTTACACAACCCCTGCTCCACAAGCCACTTATGGAAATTGTATCTTGGTTTAATTCGCCTCTCTAAATCATAACATAAATATCCTGGAAAAACATCAAGGTACTGCAGAGAGGATCCTATATCATGGCAGAGTCAAGTCAAGTTTTTCTTCAAGAAACTGTTCTTGCTGGTTCAGAATCTTTGCTGACAACCTTAACATTCCACAGAGTTTTGAGAATTCAATTCCCCAGTGTAGCAGGAAATCAAAACGTTGTTGTAGTTGGCTGCTACTGCTATTCAGTTTAGCTAAGGCTTTCACTGTAAACTTATTCTCTCCAAACCCTATGCCATGTAAGAAACTTATTTGGTGGTCCAAAATAATTATGTATCTTTGA